TTATTAAAACTTCGGCTGGCACATAATACTGTCTGATGTTCGCTTCACTTGGGTAATTTATTTGATAATCACCCCCAGAGGGTGATAGTCCTGGGAAATTTCTCTTGCCTCTACTTGAAATAAAAAGTGTGTTTCTAAGAACAAGTGACTTTGTGGCATTTATAAGCTTGGGAAATTTCATTGCTCTATAAAAGAACAATATAATGATGTAAAGCTACCAGGCTAAAAGTTAGTGCTTTTGATCAATTTTTGAGTTGCAGTGGATGCCTTGGTTTTATTATCACCAGAGACTGGTTTCCAGACGGCCAACATGGCTGGAGAATTGGGTCTGGACTGTGGCCCCTTGGAGGCAAGAGGAGCTGGCTGCATACGCCCCTGCAGCAGGCCCTACTCTACCAGCCCGACTACCCAAGCCTGTGTTCCTGAGGCTGTTTGGAAATGTATGACCTGGGATGCTGAAGTCATGTCCACACTGAAGCCAGAAATACCTAAAAATGAGGCAGTGTAAAAAGCGTGGCACGTGCGGGCCTCATTGCCGGCCCTAAGTGTCTAGTTGTAGCATATTCTTACCTGTGCTTCATCCTACAGTAAAATGTTCTGATCCTCTTATTGGAAGAGGGCTTTGTAGTTTTACCCTGGCTAAGTGCCTTCTTGCTCAGTGGGCTTTGAAAAGCTACTGTGAAGTAGTTTTTGCTTATTATGTTCCTACTTCCAAAAAGAACCTAAGGATGGCTCATTCTCCAAACAATTTTGCTAACCCTGGGTCTTTATTCCCGTCCAGACCATCTGTTCCTCTTCACCATGAAGTCATAGTACTAAATTTGTGACAGTACAATCATTTCCATGGAAACAGGATGTGGTCTTCGCCACAGAATCCTGATTTCACTCTGACCAGGACCAAGCAGCAGGAGGATGGCAGAGCACATTCTGACATTTTCCATTCCTTCCATGTTTTTCTCTCCAAAGTTCTTACTTTTGATTCTAAAATCTTATACTCAGCCTGGATATGTGTTTTTGCATAGTTTACATATGAAGCATTTGTCTAGTAAATGATTGGATATGCAAGCCAAAAAATACAAGTGGAGAAATCTCTCTCTCTTCCTCTCTCTCTCTCTCTCTCTCTCTCTCTCTCTCACTCTATGGTATATAAACTTGCTTGAAAATGGGGTGATTAGCAAATGCCCTTCTCCTTTGTATAGAAGAGAAGAGAATAAGAAAAGAGAAGAGAATCTATTTAAAAGACATGAATCTTCTAAGCCTGAGAATTTTGCTTTGATGCCTGTGAGGAGCTGTGGAAGGCAGCTGACCTAGATCCTGCCCAATAGCTTCCTTACCTTGCTTAGCACAGTGAGACATAAAAGTCTTCCTGGGTGATCACAGACTCTCTGACCAAAGGAAGATAGATAGATAGATAAGCAGCTTTATTCATATAAGTGACTAATACATACCTGGATATAGTGTCCATTTGTTTTAATCTCATACAACATTTTTTCTCACACAACAATTACACACTCTAGAAAAACTTCTTAGAACATCATTTGTTATACTATGGAATTGAGTAAAGGGCATAAACTTTTAAGAGAACTAGTTATTGGAGTATCAGAAGAAAATCCCTGATTGGTACATCAATCTAGCAATTTTACAGGACAGTCTGTACAGGCAAGGATTGTTGTAGTGAGTCTCTGCTGACATACTACATAACCTATTATATAGATATATGAAATATGTTATCTATAATATATGTTATATATAACATATATTATATGTATTATAACAGAAAGAGTGATATAATTTATAGCCAAAAAATCTGGTATTTTTTTTAAAAAAGTATAAATATACTGAATATGCTATAATTTGATGTTACAAACTGTTTTTAAGACTTATCCATGTATTGATATAGAGTCAGTTATTTTAACTTCTGTAAAGTATTTCTTTCTAAAATTAAATGTATTGGGGTGACACTGGTTCATAGGATCACCTAGTGTACAGTGTCTCATTGAATGAATACACCATAGCTTGTCTGTTCCCCATTCGTTCATTCTGGGGTACTTCCAGTGTTTTACTAATACCAACCTCATTGTAATTATCCTTTCCCATGTCTTCGCCATCTGCTTCTCCTGAAGTTATCTCCTATCCCTGTAAGTGTCATCACTGGGCTTGATCCCAAACCTCCAAGTCTTCCCTGAAGCTTTTCCGTCACACCTCAGACCAGCCTGTCTATTCTGTATCCTAAATCCAACCACCCTCAACAGTCTCAGACCAGTCCTAGCCACCAACATCTCCTTCCTACCACAGTGGTACCTCGGTTTTCCAACATCTCCGTGGATGAACATTTCGGGTTACAAATGCCCTAAGCCTGGAAGGAAATGCTTCGGTTTTCGAACATGCCTCGGAAGTCGAACATGCCCCCCGGCTTCCGCTGAGGGCGAGATCCTGAGGCCCAGCTGTCAGCCGTGGATCCCTCAGTTTTCAAAGGTCTCAGAACTCAACGGGGCTCCCAGAAAAGATCACACTAGCAAACCGAGGCACCACCGTACTGCGGTAGCTTCCTACCCTACCCCACTCACGAACTCCACTTCACATCATGGGCTTCTTGCCTGAAATGCCCTTTCTTCGGAACTTAAACGTGAATCTTCCTTGTTTCTCTGAATTCTTCAATCCACCTTCTCAGGAAGGACGTCTCTGTCCCTCCTATACCTCCTGTAGTCTTGTTCACCTTTTTTTTTTTTTTTTAAAGTCTAAGAAGTTAAAAAAAAACCACCCTGAGCTTTATTAAAACCAAGTAAATGTAATATATTAATGTATACAGATAGCACATGGTGCCGATTATACTTGCAGATATTATAGTACTCTCACAGCTCACAAGTTACACCTTTGCCATAGCCTTGGCTCAAACTTGAACTAGTGCCGAATCCAGCTGTGCTAGAGTGCTGATCTTAGCACGCTCAGACGTGGATACTTGTTCTTGATAGTCGTGCTTTGTAAGCCCACGATTCACCATGACTATATTCTTAGCAACGTGTTGCATAACAAGAAGGGATTCTTCAGTGTATGACAGGTAATGCTGAAGAAATGGTGTCCATTCACCATTATTGAGAATTTTCAGTGCTAAACAAAAAGCTCCTGCTGCAATCTGAGAAGGAGGAAAGTGTGCCATATTGTAGATTAACATAGTTCCGTCAGGTATTTGGCCAAAGTATGTTGCTCCACATCAACCTCTCCAATTTTAGGTGCTCTCTGAAGAAAATGTAGGGGTAGAGGGCAACACAGTCCTATTATGATGATTGGTTCAGGAAGGAACTTGATACATATTTATTCAAGAAATGAATAAATGAATGTTTCCTTATGCATTTTTCAACATTTCTTCTGAATTGTGTATCTAGAGGTGGTGTTTCTGGAACATAGAATGTGTGTATTTTCAATTGGACAAAGTATTTTCAAGTTGCTCTTGTAGGAATTTGCACTTCCATCAGCCTAAGACCTCTCACTTCCATATAACTGGTAGCCAACACTTGGTATTGTCAGATTTAGAATTTTTCCCCAATCTGATGGATGCTTTAATTTACATTTCTCTGATTACTAGGGAGGTTGAGTGCATTTTTTAAACCAGTTTTTCTATAGGTTGTCTTTCCCTTATTTATAAAAGTAATTTATATTGTCTGAATATTAACCCTTTGTTTGATATATATGTTGCAATTATCTTCTCCCAGGCTGTGACTTTCCTTTAAAATTGTCTATAGGATATTTTTATCAAACAGAATTACTAAATTTGGAGTGTTCAAATTTCTAGGCTTTTCCTTTATAATTTGTGCTTTTGATGTTACATTTAAGTAATCCTTCCTTCCCCTGTGATTATAAAGGTGTTCACCTATAATTTCTTCTAATGGTTATAAAGTTTAAATTTTGTTCCAGGTTTAGATCTTTAATTCATCTGGAGTTTAATTTATAGTGGTGGTTCTCAAACTATAGTATGGGAAGTCCCAAGACTCTTTCAGGAAGTTTGCAAGGTCAAAATGATTTTTGTAATACCACTGAGACATCATTTTTTTTTTTTAACTTTCATTCTCTCATGAGCAGTAGAATTTTCCAGAGGCTACATGACATGTGATGATGTCATCATTGATTGGGTACCTTAGAAACAGCAGAAATTTATTGCTCACAGTTCTGAAGGCCGTGGGATCTCTGGTAAGAACACTAATCTCATTCATGAGGGCTCCACCCTCATGACCTAATCACCTCAAAGGCCCAACCTACTAATGCCATCACCCTTAGGAGTTAGGATTTCTACATAAGAATTTGGGGGAACACAAACATTCACACCATAAGGTATGGTAAATATCAATAGCTGTACCCACATAAACAATAGCTGTGGGATCTTCAATTTTTTTTAAGAGTATAAAGGAATTCTGAGACTGAAAATTTTGAGACCTGCTGGAATAAAGTATGAAATAGGGATCCAATCTCATTTTTTCAGCACAGAAAGTCAGGAGCCTCCAGATTCACTAGGTTTGTAGCTTCCATCATATGACAAGGTTCCGTATTCACGTGCTGTTTTATATCACAACACTGCACTACCTAATTACTAGTCTCTAACAGCTATTTCAGATGTCATCAAGTCCTCCTCTTGTTTTTAAGTCAGAATGGGGATCTAGTTTCTTAATAACTGTCAAGGAAGTAGATTCTGATAGACAGGTGTCTAACAGCTATTACCACCACCAGGCTGGGCGCTTCTTTGCTCACCCATCTCTTCTTTTTCTTCTTCCAGGCTTCATGGTTTCCTTTTTTCTTATTTTCTTTCCCTATTCTTGCTCCCTTCTCCATTCAGTTTCCCTGCCTGTCTTTTTCTTTCTCACCTATAATAGAAAAAAAAAAAAAATGTTGAGGTTCCTGACCGGTTACATTCCAGAGAAATGAAGAAATGCAGGTTATATAACTGGGAGCGGTCAGGGGTGTGGCCTAAAGTTGAGAATATAAAGGTAGGAAGACAAAACGGTTAGGCGTAGGTTTCATTTTAGATTTTTATTACTTAAAATGATTCTCCTGTAAATCCCATCCAGTGCATTCCGTCTTTCTCAGGCTGTGGCGGTTCCCAGTAGATCCAAAATTACCAAAGAGTGTCAGTATCAACATATTCAAAGATCACGCTCATGGGTTTTTGTTTGTCCAGAAGTACCTGATGTTGCATTAGAGTGAGCCTTAGGAGATGCCTGCGGGACTGTCTTTATACATCTCGTTTTTCGATCACCAGGATGTGAAAAGCTCTTATAGTTATCTTTACCCGATCTCCTTTTCAATGTCCAGTGTTACTTTCAGGTTCTTGTGATGTGGCAGACAGTTCAGGCGATCTTTAAAAACAATGACAGACTCCTAACGACAGCAATAACAACAAGAAATCTATTTTACTTTTTGGTTGGTGGGAGATATTGAAAAACATAAAAATAAAAAACCACCCATAAATAATTTGCCTCACAGAAATAACTGCTATTAGTAATTTATTGTATTTCTGACCATTTCCTATGCAATTCCATTTCATAGTTACACTGTAAGTATACAGTTTGTATCTTTCGGGCATGTGGTAGTCTAGATCACTATTAGTCATGGTTTCCCATCACTTTTTCGGCCAGTTGAACTGTATATATTCCCTTTCCTGCCGGGAAGTAGAATTTAAAAAGTAAACTTTGCAAAGTCTCCTTTTGAAGCAGACACTTAAGTGGATTATCTGATTGCATGTCTGCTCTTGACCTCAGGGTGGGATGGCCCAGAGACCTCTGCCACAGACTCATCCTCTATAATTGCCCCATTTACTTGATTCTCCTCTAAACTTTAAATCCTGAGAGCAAGACTGTACACACATTTCTACCCCAGCACCAGCCTATGACCCTTTACGTAAAAATTCTCAGTATATTTTTGAAGATTGAATGAAAGAAAGGAAAAGTAAATACTAAAATTCTAGAGGATCCATAACTCATCAGGCCACCTCGTCAGTATCAGGATACATCTGGATGAAACTTCCCAGAAGTAAAATACAGTTTAGATTTGTCTTGAAAGAGTACAGAAAGATAGGAATTGATCATCAGTGGAACATCCCCTACAGACCCTAAATTCCGGGCTCTACCTAAGATCCCTACTGTGCTTTAATGCTTAAATTTGGCTGTACCACAAATACTTATAGAAAATTAATTTTGACCTCTTTTTACATTTAATAATCTTTGTAACATCTAGACCACTGCTGCCTACATTTTGGAAATGGTGGCTTCCAATATTTGGCATGCTTATAGGCTTGGTCCCACAACAGGGACTTTGTTAAAGAACTAAAACCACACATGTCCTATTGGTCAAAGGATCGGATCACTTAGGGGACAATAATGAAAAGCTTACAGCTAATGATTGGGGGAGAGAGAGAGCCAGAGGGGGAGAGAGCCAGAGGGCGAGAGAGTCAGACAACCATTCCAGGGCTGCCAGTTCGGAAGAGGACAGGGGACAGCACAGGCAGCTGGTTTTCTCCTGACGAGTCTCCCGTCGTCTTCAGCTTTGACAGATCTTGGATCTCATCTGGTTCAAACATAAAATTGCTAACGAACTGAGACATCCCCTGTAAGTACATGAAAACTGTTTTCTCTCTGGGCAACTTACGCTTGGTCAGGATACAACTGGTCATATGGTTTTGAGGCAGTGCGCTGTGTACTGCTATCTTCACAAATGCAATTCTACAACATTTTGTGTGCGTTTGTTTGCTTTTAGAAAAAACAAATTTAATTCATATTAATTACAGTGTGAAGTTGAGTGTGTGAAGCTCTGATTCACCCTATATGCATAAAAAGAGCAGCACCACCTGTTGAGTGCCTACAAGTGCCTGGCACTGCTCGGTATATTACATACATTACCTAACTGAACTTGGAGACATAATTTAAATATCTCATTGACTTTGAAATTGCATATGGCCCCTTCCTTAAGAAACTTATATGCTATTTATTTAGCCCTACCCATTACAGGAGAAAAACAGTGATGCCAGAATTTACTAACACTGATCACTGAGCTTTCCATTCTATACTCTGATCCAGTTTTCTTTCTGATTTTTCAATCTAACTTTTCTATCCTATTTTCCAATTAGCTGATCGCCTCTTCTCTCTCTCTTGTCATTCTCCCCAGCAGTATGTCTTTCTTTTGCCACATAATAAAAGGGTTAACTGCTTCCCCCATTCCAAAATTAGAAAAGATAAAAGTTAAAATGATTTGGACACTGAAGACATTTTTTCTACATTGAAGTATGTAACTTTGCTGTGAGATCATTGGTGAGTTATAGATGATTCTACAAATATGATCTTCACTCATTGCCAAAGTAAATTTCATTTAATTAAAACTTCCAACTTGCCCAGCCAGTGTTGCTCATGGTTGAGCATCGCCCTATGAACCAAGAGGTCATGGTTAGATGCCTGGTCAGGGTACATGCTGGGTTTCGGGCTTGATCCCTGGTACGGGGTGTGCAGAAGGCAGCCAATCAATGATTCTCATAATTGATGTTTCTCTCTCTCCCTCTCCCTTCCTTTCTCTGAAATCAACTAAAACAAAACAAACAAAAACACCCTTTCAACTTGTTAAATAGCAGATTTCACTTCCCCAGATGGGTTGAAGGTCCAATAAAATTATTTTCTTAATGCTTAGGGATTACTTCTACATCCTATATTAAGATGGTTAAGAATTTAAAGCATTTATATGAAAGTTATGATCCAAATTTCTATTTGTTTTTCCCCCCTAAGATTAATTGAATCCATAAACATTTATTGAATATCCCTTGTGCCAGGCACCCTACTAGGGGAGTGACAATACACTGGAGAGCATTGTCAGGCATGGTGTTTGCCCCTACAGAGCTTATGACCAACTGGAGGCAAAAGACATTGAACAAACAATTACAAATATGAAAACTGCCGTGAAGAGAGCAGGGTGCTACAGGATGTGTAATAGGTGTAGCTAACCTAGCTTGATTTGGGGGTGGGGGGGAGAGAAGATTCTTTCCGAAGAAGCTGAAGTTTAGCCCTGAAGCTTAAGAAAGGGAAAGAGTGGACTAGGGAGAAGCTGTCTAGATAAGGGAACAGTTTGTGTAAAGGCTCTGAGTAGAAAAGAACGCTGCCTATTCAAGGACCTCAGAGAAAGTCACTGTGGCTAGAGTGGGGATTCCAAGAAATGTTGAAGAAGAGGCAGGCAGGACTGGATCACATAAGTCATGTGATCGGCAACTGTATTCTAATGGCAATGGAAAGCCAATGGAAAATTTAAGCCAGAAAATAAAAAAACTTAAAAGCTTAATATGGCTAAAATTTAAAATATAAGAAAACATTAATTTACTATTTAATTTGTTCTGGAATGTACTCTGATATTCAGTAATCCAATGATATTAAGAATATATATGGCAAAACTATCTAGATATTTGATATGTAGAATTTTTCTGAGAACTGAAAAGACCCTAGGGTAGTTAAGCAAAGCAGAACAGTACTTGGGTACATATCTTTAGTATGTCTATGTTTCCTTGCCTTTCATCGACACTATGTTTTAACTTGAATTGCAAATGGAGGTGATAAAATAATAAGGGCAGGGAAAGGAGAAAGGTATGCATGTGTGTATGTGTGTGTGCACGCGTACATGTGGTTTCTCGTGGTTTTGGAGAAGAGCAGATCTATGACAATGAATGTCAGTATCACATTCTCTGTGCTCAAAAATAGTTGTCTATCCCATAAAAATTAGGAAAGGAAACACCACTGCGTAATACAACAGATGTCGACATGAAATATATTAATTTTTGACTAAGGACCCCAAGATGGCTTTGGTAGCATTGGAATAATAAAGAGATCCATGAACACTAAGGCCCTTGAATAATATAGAGTATTAGAGACTAAGGTTTTAATTTTCTTCTTAAATATTCTTCAGTTTTCCCTATGAGCATTTCTTCTTGTCTTCACATTAAATTAGCAGATAAGATTTTAAGGTGTGGTTCTTTCTCAGAGGTATTTTCTTATGGGGATTTGGGGGAAATTCTTGAAGACTAATAAGGTTTCCCTCAGCAAATAATAGGAGAATCATAGGAGAGAGAAAGAGCTCTGAATACTATTCTCCAGCCTCACTGCTGCCCGAGCCGGAAGTTTCTTCTCTTGGATCATGGACTGCAATGCTTCCTAACTGATCTTCAGGCTCAGTGACTCCCTCTTAGGAGTGAATGAAAAAATATACACCTAGCAAACTGTTTGAGAAAGGCTGCTGACCCTTGGTCTGAGCAATCATGAGCTACAGGAGACATGAGTTTGAATGTCAGTTTTTATCTGACTCATTTTTCAAAAAAAGAATGAATCACTCATTGATTGACTCATGCAGCTCCATGGCCTAAGGTGTGGTCGAGCAAAGAGCATAGGCCAGCTTCATGCACACGGTGTACTTGAGTACTGCAACTGATCAATCATTCTTCTCAAAATAGAAACACATTTTTTAAGTACCTAATTGTATACATGACTTGAAAACATTCAGAATATGTAGGCTAAATATCAAAATAAATTAGCGCTTGTTAAGGTTTTGTGGAACAGGTGAGATGTCTATTATTATAAAAAGGGAGGAGGCTAGCTATGTATTAATTGCCAGGTTACCAAAGCTCAGGGGAAATTTGGTAGGAATGTTAAGAGTAGCTTCTCAGTACTTGGTGACTGGTTGAAAACTGGTCACTCTGTTTACTCGGGCATAAGGGTGGTTAGAGTAGGCTGTTGTGGGGGTTTTTTTGTGTGTGATAAAAGGTGTTGTAAGCTTCAATCCTCTAGAATCTGATGCTCAATGTCCTTATGTTGTATTCTTTTCCATAATCAGAGTCATGGATAAAGAAACCTACCTTCTAGCACTGAATAAGAATAGATTTGGGTGTATGGCCAGACCTATGAGTATTATAGACAAAGATTAAAGTATTATTTAAAAAAATAATTTTATGCTTTAGTAGTTCTAAATTATTCATTTTTGCTTGATATAAAAGAGCAAGGGGGAAAAAAGAAAATTAGCATTTATTAAGTGCTAGTGTAGTATGTCAGGCACTCATATACTCAGTCACGTATATCATCATTAAAGTTCATGGGAAGCCTGTAATAGTTAATGTTTCCATTTGGGCCAAGGAAGAACCTGAAGTTCAGAGACTGAGGTGGGCAGAGTTGGAATGTTCACTCAGGTGGCTAGCTTATGACCTTTCCATAAAATCACTTAGGCACAAACTGAAAAACTTGAAATCAGGTAGGGTTAAATGAAATGAGACAGCTTCTCCTCTTTAATTTCTTTTGGTTTAGATATAATCTATATATGCAGGGGGAAAAAGTAAATAAAATTTATTGCAGAAAGATGCTCATATTCTACAAACCTGTTGATGGGGAGGGGCAATAGGAAGAGATGAGATTGGAAAGTGTACATTAAGCAATATGTAAATTCTGGGTCCTAATTTTTCTGAGTCCTATTGATTTTTAAAGGTTATTTGCAAGATGGGCGTCAATGTCTTACGACCTGTAAAGTGTAAATGTTGCTGTTCTGACTAGATTTTTCTAAAATGTATTTTTATTGATTTCAGAGAGAGGAAGGGAGAGGGGGAGAGAGAGATAGAAACATCAATGATGAGACAGAGTCATTGATCGGCTGCCTCCTACATGCCCCTGATCGGGACTGAGCCCCTAACCCAGGCATACGCCCTGACTGGGAATAGAACCGGGATCTCCTGGATCATAGGTCAATGCTCAACCACTGAGCCATGCTGGCCCAGCTATTCTGTCTAGTTTTTAAGGACGTTGTAAAGCTATTGAAGAATCTTTTAAAAAGTATTAGGACAGTTGCTATAAAATGCAAAGATTGTTTATATTTCTGACCCTCATCTGTGTATCTAAATAACTTTGTTCTTACCTTAATTACCACACCTATCATATTGCATCCTAATAACTTCTCTACTCTCTGGTATCTTGACGAGCAGATGGGTTCCTCTGAGACAGGGACCATGTCTCTTTTATTGCAGTATCCATAGTAACCTAGACATAGTGCCTGAAATATAACACATACTCATTAAAATTTATTCAATAAACAACCCAACAAAAGGATTCATCTTTTTTATCCTAATATCCCTATTTCCAAAATAAGAAGATAGTAATATCTTTCTAGATTGCTTATCAGGAGTGTCATAATACATGCTCAGGCTGGAGAGAGGGGCCACAGACATAAAAGGAGTCATTATGATGATTACTAAGGGGGGGAGGGGGTAATTATTTTACATAACAAAAATTTCATTCAGGTTAAGATCTTTAAAAAAAAAAAAAATCTAACCAATAAGTTTCAGGAGAAAAATGTGGGGTGTAGGGTAATATGCAGCAGGTATCTCCATCCTTGGGCTCTCAGGGCGGAAGGACCGGAGATGTGAACAATCTCTCGCTAGGTGGCGCCCCTTCCCCCGCGGGGCATTGTACAGCGGCATCACCGGCGCGCCGCAGGGAGGGCGCGGCTCAGCTTGTTTCCTTCATCACAATCTGTGTTTGGGATTTCTTTTAAAGGGGCCTGTACTTTCATTTCCTCCAAACTTACACATGATGTTCAAGATAGACATTGATCGGTCCAGTCTTTTAATAGGTGCGGTCCCAGGGAAGGATCTCGACGGCGCGTCTTCACCTGGCGTGCAAGGCGGCGGGAATCGGGGGCCCAGACCCCGCCAAACATCAGCCCGTTAAAATCCTCATTTTCAGTGAGGACTACATTTCTGGAGGATTTTACACCATCACACATCCCAAAGTACTTTGGGAGAGCTGCTTAAAGGACTCCGCCGTTCGAATCGAAAATATTTATAAAATGTCACATTGCTTCAAACCATTCGGATGGCTTCTCCAGCTACATCTCTCACACACACGGCTATGGACCCCATTACTTAGTCCTGCTTTTAGCCCCCAAACTGACACAAATACACAGACATTCAAAAAGATTTGCTCTAAGGAGAATTTTTTTCCTAGGCGCCTTTCATCGGAAATTCGCGCCAGTATCTAGGTTTTGGGTGTGTGTGTGTTTTTAATCCTATTTTACCCAACCTTTTCCTCTCAAACCCAAAAGACACAGAATGACAAGTTCTAAAACATGGCAGACCCATCGGAGAATGAAGACCGTTTGCAAACACCGGGCGGAGCGCGGTCTGCTTCCGATAAGCCGGCGGGACCTCGCCGGGGGTGCTCCGGGGAGGGCCGGCGACGGGCCCGTCCCGCCGCCCCCCGGCTCTAACGGACCCGCTCGCTAGCCTTCGGGACGCCCCGTCTCACCCGGGCCTCTTCCCGGCGGCGGTGCTCCCGGGCGGCCAGGTCGCCGAGGGTGGCGTG